TCTCTCTCTCTCTCTCTCTCTCTCTCTCTCTCTCTCTCTCTCTCTCTCTCTCTCTCTCTCTCTCTCTCTCTCTCTCTCTCTCTCTCTCTCTTAGAAGGAAGAAGAAGAAAGGAGGTGAAGAAGAATCAGAGGGAGGGAGGAGGAAGAGAAGTGGTGGAACTGGAGGAGACGAAGGGGAAGGAGAATGCTCTCTGAGTCTCACGAAGGTGGGGCCAGGATACTGACCAGCGTAAAGGTGTCTCCTTGGCGCTGTGGTACAGGTGGAAGACGCCTGAAGACAAGCAGGAGCTATGGCACCAGGTGAGTCTGCAGGTATGTCACCCATCGCCAGGCCTCTGCCCTCAACCTCCTACTCCGCTACTCTGCCTGCTCTCGACTGAAGCAGCGCTGCCAAGAAGCGTGAAGACCTCAACCTCTAACTCTGCGTGCCATAAAGGAGGCTGGCCCAGCTATATATACCGCTGGGCCTACTGCTGTGTGGCCAGAACTGGTGCCCAAATCGAAAGTGAGCATCCTGGAGAACTGGTGCCCAAACTGAACAGAGAGCCCCAGGAGAACTGGCACCTAGGGCTCAGGACAAAATGAGATGCTGCAATCTGGAGCCCAGCTGAAAAGGAGAGACTGGCGCCCAGTGCTGAAAGAAGAAGGAACTGGCCTAGATGACGGCCACTGGGCCTGCATCGGCCCTCCTATGCAGTAACATGCGGCCTAACAGGGAAGGGACTGACTCCTGGCCAAAGAAGACTGCTGAGGCTCAAAAAGAGAACTAACGAACCCCTAACCTACAACCAGGCCCAAAGGGCTTGTGTGGTGCATACCACACACACACACACAGATAACACACATAACAGGCATAACAGCATACAACGCACAAAGAGGCAGGCAAGTGGGCAAGCAGGCATGCACGCACAGGCAAAACAGACAGAAAGACAGGAAGAAATGGCATCATTATAGGTCGAAACCATTTTGCACCATTAGAAGAGAATGAGAAGACAGGTACTAGATAGAAACTATTAGAAAGTGAAAAGAAATGGCATCATTATAGGTCGAAACCATTTTGCTTCTGTCCATGCTCATCCAGTGCCAGCGGGAGAGTGGAATGCATAACTGCATGAGGTCATCAAGATCCAAAAGCACACAACATCAGCCCTAAGGTCTGAATGACCGTATGCACCATACCAGAATAAGAACGTCAGAGTCTATCAAAGAAGTCCAGAGCTCACCTGACGAAGCCAACGGGTTGGCTACTTGAGCACACCATCCACTGCTGGCGGTTCAGTTCTGATTCCACCTGCTTTACTGAGGAACTGGGGCAGGTTAACTTTCTCATTTTACTCTCAGTTGCTGGCAGCCTCCACTTTCAGAAATGAGATAAGGCTGAATGGGAACCTTGATCGTCTATGAGAGCTCCAGTCTGTTTAGGGCCAGAGCCACGGCTAACAACAAAGACCAGTATCCCTGAGATGAACGCACTACAGCCAACTGCTGATGACAATTGTGGTCAACGCCCCATCTGAGTGTGTTTCCCATATCCACTCCCCAAACTGTTCCAATATAAGCACACTTGTGACCAGAAGCAATTTTCCCATCCATACCTCTCAGCTGCTCTGAGTATGCATTCAGTCCGTTGTCTGATTGGATCCCTGGCCCAACTAAACTTTAACCTCGGTTTCTTATATTCCTCAAGATCACACACGCCAGCTCCTTGAGGGAGAACCTCCAAAGCCTACAGCCCCTGCCACCCACCTGTCCAGGACGGGGTGCTCCCTGTGATCACAGGGCCAGAAATGTCAGGTCAGTCCTATACCTCTCAGCAATTCTCAGGGTATCACGTGCACATGCCCAGGCAGGGTCCAGGCAGCACACACTTTCCATAAAGGAAAGTGCTGGGCACCAGTCCAGACACATTCTGGCCGGTGCATGCTTCATGGGCCCCGCCGGAACACACGCTGGAGGAGGCACACTGGCCAGAGCTGACGTGCGGACGGGCGCTGGAGAAGGGCGTTGTGGGAACAGCGCTGCACACATCAGCCATAGCCGGGCCGTATGTGCATGAATGCCGGTGGGGTTGTGGTGGTCCTTGGGCAAAGAGGAGAGCCTGTGGTTGGGACAGACAAGGGATGAGCCGTGGAGAGAGGAGGACATACCTATTACCTGGTGTGTCGTGGAGGCTGGATGGGTGACGTCTTCATGTACATCAGTCTGCTGCTGAAAAGCTTCTGGTTGCATCATTCTAGTGTAGGCTAGTATAGGTGTCGTGAGCCTGTGGTTGGGCGCCAGGCGCCATGTGGAAGAGCGACATTGGATACATTGTTGATGGTGGTGAGTCAGGGGCTGACATTGACAATTGAGTTCATTGCTTTGCTCTTATTTGGTGTTTATTCGATGCATTCGGCTTTCTAAGCGACACATGACTATCAGGTTTTCAATGTGATGATGCAATTTGGATTTCTGTCATTCGCTCTTGCTCATTTTCCTTGCAAGATGGATTCATCTGCACAAAACTGTTGAGAATAAGGAAACGTTTCCCATTCAAATCAATTCTACCTCATCAGAAAACAAAGGGGAAGGATTACGCTCGAAAACTCAGTCATACATGCGAAGTGAAGTATACACACTCGCAGTGGCGGATTGGTGGGGAGTGACACCTGCTGGAAACCGGGTCCAGCGTCCCTGACAGATCTATTTTTTTTTGTAACAATGCCATTTGGGAAGGACTTGCCTCTTCAGTCCCTCGAAGTGGATTGCCAGATATGCTACTACTAGAAAACAAGCAAACCTCTTTTTGGAAAGCAAAACAAAGATTACAGATTACTTCCCCCCTGAAACCATACCATTGCATGTCCACAAGAGAAAGCTCAGAAGGGGGAATGGGTCTGAAAAAAAGACTGTCAACCAGTCTCGAAAGGTGAGCTGGAAATCCTTTTTGAATGACAAGCCAGACCCCTTTCCGCCTGGCCATTCCACTACACCCAAAACCCCCCCAGCGGATCCCCCCAGCGAGTCCTGAACAAAAAAATTTATGGACTTCTGAATGTTTTTTCTCTGTGGAAATTTATATAGTTTTGTTGTGAGGTTTTTCCACTATGCCTGGATCTCTGTCTTGGCGAAAATAACAATTATTTCAATTAAATCCGCCCTTTCCAAGCTTACATCGTCTCTCTCGCTAACACAGCGTTTGTGCCAAAGCGCCCATAGCATAGCTTTTTTTTTTTTTATAGATGATGAGAAGACTATGAATCCCTTTTTATGATCGCTAAACACCTCCTGAAATCCACCACAATTTTCCGAACACTCGAGTATCTAAGGGATTTCCAGCAGGTCATAACAAAGCTCACTAAAACTGACTTATTCTCTGACAAACTCATCCAGGCCACACGCCCCCTATCTGCTAGGTTACAGAGCAACGCGACTCACTCCAGCTCCGGCCAGTGTCGTCCTGTGTAAGCAACCCCAGCTGTCCCTTAGGATGCCCCCGCATATCATCCCCAGATCTCTCTGCAAGGCCTCGTGCCCTCACCTTCGGCAAGTTACAGGGCATCACCCGGCTCCGGCCAGCATCGTTCTGGCATTGAACAGCCACAGAGGGCATCACCCCGACTCCGGCCAGCGTCGTTCTGGCATTGAACAGCCACGGATCCTGAATATAACAGTCTAATTCCAGTGCAGCTTCGTACAAATCACCAGCAGATCGTCAGAGTCCCGAGAGATTCTTCAAACTACCAGGAATAACAAGGGTGCTTGTTTTGAAAACTCCATAAAGAATCAGGAAAAGTCCCACCAAATACAAACGAAGGATATAGAAATTCCCCCCTTTCCCCTCGTCCCCCTGCCCCACCGCTGCCTCCACCAAAAAGGACCGCCCCTGATCATGGACACTCCTCATCGGCCCCAACTTGGGGCGGACCCATTTCCGCCCCTACTCCCACAAAGGCATCCACTTCCCACCCAAAGAATGCCTCTGTCGACCCCTTGCCCTTGTCTGCCACCGCTGGGATATGATGCCAACCCATACATCTCACCCAGCCCAGAATAGAGCATCCCCCAAAATCTGCCCCGTCTCCCTTCAGGGCAATCACCTCCCTCCTTGTGAAGCCCTTGCAAAGTAGAGCTCTCCCCCCCAGAACGAACCCACCACCCCACCAGAAATAATTTGTTTATGCTTAAGAGGAGAATCGGAATTCTGGATGCTTCTGTGGATTATTTCCCCCCTCTCCCCTCCATCTCCCCCTGTCCCTCTGCTGCCTCCACCGAAAAGGACTGCCCTGATCACAAGCTCTCCTTATCGGCCCCAACTTGGGACATACCTGCTTCCTCCACCAACTTCCACTAAGGCATCCAGTTCCACCTAAAGTATGCCTCAGCCAACCCCTCACCCCTATCTGCCTCCGTTGGGATATGATGCCAACCCATACATCTCTCCCAGCCCCAAAATAGGGCATCCCCCAAAAATCTGCCCCCACTCCCTCCAGGGCATTTCACCCCCCACCTTGTGAAGCCCCTGCAGAGTAGAGCTCTCCTCCTAAAAACCCCAACCCCCCACTCGTGCAAAAATAATTCATTAGTGCACCCAAAGGGGAATCAGAAATTAATAGTGGAGAAAAGAGAAAACAAGGAATTTAGGAAATAGGATTCCTAAGATATGAGTGGAAGAATCGGAAATTTCTGAAAATTATGATGGAGAAAAGGTAGATGAGATTTTTTGTTTTGGATTTTGCTGATGACGATGAACAGCACCCTGAAGATGATGATGATGAGGATGATGGTGACGACCAACTCACCTGCTGATGTGAAAGGCAAACAATGCCTTGAAGAGCAACATCTAATGATGACAAACTGATGATGATGATGATGATGATGATGATGATGATGATGATGATGATGATGATGGTAGTGATAAGAATGAAGACAGAATGATGATGCTAATCATACTAAAGAGCAGCACCAACAGCCCCTATGATTACAAACTGATGATGATGATGATGATGATGATGATGATGATGATGATGACGATGCACAGCGGCCTGTGATGACAACAGGATGATGATGGTGCTGATGACGAGCACCTTTGATGATAACATACTGATGATAATGATACTGATGATGATGATAGGGATGAGCAGCGCCCTATGATGACGAACTTCGCCAACCGCGCCCTATGATGGTGAACTATTGATGATGGTAATACAACGATGAGTGACGAGCAGCACCCCTGATGAATGACTCCTTGATAATGATGATGATACTAGTGCCGAACAGAAGTGAAGACCTACGCCTTGATGATGATGACGAGCTGTACCCTGATGATGATGATGGTGATGACGAGCAGCACCCTGATGATGATGACGAACCATTACCTTGATGATGATGTCGAACCACCCCCTGTTCAAGATGATGATGATGATGCTGACGAGCAGCACCCTGATGATGATGACGAATCATTACTGTGATGATGGTGTCGAACCGCGTCCTGTTGATGATGGTACTGGTGGTGATCAACGCCCCGTTGCTGATGACGAGCAGTGCCCTGATTGTGCTGACAATTCTACTTCCTCATGATTGCAGTCGCCACTGCACTCGCACTTCAGTTTACCAAGGTCTGACTCCACTGTACTCCACAGGCGTCGACATGGCCAACGCCTCTCAGGCCATATGCCACGTGCAAAAACGCAGCGGCAATGGAGTGAAACGTGGAACTCCCAGAAGAAGAAAAACAGGAGTTAGTCCAGCCGCCACATCAGCTTGTGACGTGGCGTGGACAAGCGCCTTCGGTCACCTGCACGTGCGCAAAGCGCCTGGTTTACAGAAGAGATGGCCACCATCGCCGCCGCGTGCTGTCACCTGTGCGATGTCGCAACCTGGGGCGGAGCGCAGCGCTCCCGGTAGTGTCGCGCCCCGCCCGGAAACATCATCACAACACCCGGCCATTCCACCCCTGCATATTGTACATCCGTTACAATTGGAACGGTAAAGGGAAGATTAGCATGGCCCATGCGTGCTTTTTGAGTACAAGTATTGATCATTTGGTAGAGTTTCTTTTGGGAGACACTGGTTTTTCTACAGGGGAGGGACTCCACCCGAGGGAGCGGGATTGGAGACCTTGCGACCCCTGAATTTGCAGGTTGCTGATATAGCATAGCCTTGCGGCCAATCTCCAAGAAGTTCTGATGGAAGATGGACAGTTGGAATCCTGATGGATCCCAGAAACCCAGAAGAATGGATTGCCACTCCCAACGCCAATCAATCCCTGTTAACTCCCTCCAAATGCAGTCCCATCTTCTCCATGGCAAGACTGAACCAGCACATTGCATAAAAATGTGTTCTGTAGTTTCTCTAAATTTCCTACTCGGGAAAGCCAAAACACAGGATTTACACCAGGGAGGTGCCAGTCCTCTTTGCTCCAGGGTAGTGGGTCAATTAACCAATCATTGGTCGGTACACACCGGTGAGCTATCTGCCAGTGCAGAGAGGCAAACTTTGTCGGCCGCCACTTACGCTTCTTGAAGAAGTTAAAGTGTTTTACCAGATTCATATCGATATTGAGGTGCCTAACTCATCTATCTTGTACAATTGAGACAAGATCTACCCTGGGACGAAGCAGCCGGTATGTTACCTTGACTGAGTGAGAATCCCAGTACCGAGGTTTCCCCCTCTTACTGTTTTGCCACGCCCACTCAGCTGGGTCAAGAGGTAAATCAGGAATGGGGATCTCTGAATGAAAATCCATCCATCCCTGAATCGATGAAACATGCAGTACTATAATTCTATAAAGCCACTCATAAGGAAAGAGAACTACGTTCTCCTCTGGCACAGCCAAAATAAATGATTCCTTGTTTATCCGGTGGACACTCGCCAAAGCTCCGTCGGAAACTAAGTGAATGATTTGTCCCACCTCCATATTTTTATTAGGTTGGCAACGTACCATCCAATCCCCTTCTTGAAAACTTATGCCTTTTCTTAGGCTACGCAGTACTACGCACCCAGGACAAGGAATTGAAAAATAATTTGATCCAATCTTTGGGAGAGCTGAGTGCGCATATCTGAGCTCCTTTTTCAGTTGATCTACCGATTTCCCATCTCTTTTTGCTGTGTCCCACAGGTCCTTGATTCTCATCACTCCCTTTTTCACCCACTGTGACCAAGGTGGAGCAGAACTATTGAAAATGCATCCATCATTGTCAGTAATCCAGTTATTTCCTAGTAAGATTTTCATGCCCGGCTGGGCACCTGGGCGTGACGCCCAGGGGGGTCTGACGCCCGGAGTTCCCGGGCGTGCAAAAAAAAAAAAAAAAAAAAAAAAAAAAAAAAAAAAAAAAAAAAAAAAATTTGGGTTTTCTTCGCTCTCCCAGAGGACCCCAAATCTGGGCTCATTTCGGTTTTTGCGAGTTGGCTGTCAAAGGGGGGGGGAAGGGGGTATAAATTGGTTTTGAAGGGGCTAAAGGGGTTTAAAGGGAGGTGCCTTAGTGTGAGTGCCTTATTTTCTTTTTTATCTCCGATTCTGTGAGGAATTCTAATGTTGCCCTCAGCCAAAAAACGTTTGTATTGCAATTCTACACGACATACTTTTTTTCCGGAATTTTTCGAATTGTTTTTTTTGGGGGGGCGCTGGGGCTCCCGGGCACCTGGGCGTGTACCCAGGCATAAGTTGGGTGCCTGGACGCCCGGAAAAACAGCCCAGGTTATTTCCAAAAAAAGGCTGACACATAATTTTATCATGCCGAGACCGGAACACCTTGTTGGGCAATGGTCATTGACGCCAAGTCTTAGCAAATGGACCCACAAATTGTCTAGAGATAGATCATTTATGGTTGCTCCTCTAATCCCCCTTTCCCTAGATTGGGTTTGCACTCTAGGGACAGTCCAATATCTGTCTTCTATCCAGGTGAGGGGATGTGTTCTGTTGGTTAGCGGGTCAACCTTCTAATCTGTTCCAAAGCTATGACTTGCCAAAGATTAATTTGGAGAATTTCTGTCTTAAATTTGAAATTCGTATTCTGATTTTGTGCGTAGATTTTTTCAACAGTTTTTTTCAAGTAATTTGTCTTAGTTATGATGTGGTTTTTTTAAACAAAAAGGGAAGGTCAAATTAGAGGCAGGAGGGAAGTGGGGGGGCTCACTCAGAAGAGGGATCGGTGGTTCAGGGTGGTAAGTCTAACTAGAAGGGTGGGGTGGGACGACATTGGCCGGTGCTGGAGCATTCGCTCTGTGACCAGGGGAGCTTGAGGCCATTGAAGTTATGCCGAGGATGGAAGGCATAACCATCTTGCCCGACGTAGCTGTTGCCGGGGTGGTGACCCTGTAACCTTTTGAGGGGCCTTACAGTTAAGAGAGTTGTCGAGGGGGGAAGGCACTCTCTGTCCGTCAGAAACAGTTAGCTCGGTACTGGGGCAGTTTGTGTTGCCTTGTAACCCTAGCAGGGGGGTATGTGATCTGATGATTTCTGGTACGAGGACTGAAAACCTGGTTGCCGTGTCCTTCATCTGTGGTGAGGGTAGGAGATGGATTGTTAGTGGTTCTAGTTCTCGTCCTTTTTCCTTTTGGTTTTTTAATGGGAAGGCGAAAGTTGGAAGTACGGTTTGGAAGGAGTTTTGGGTGGGCTCGCGCAGGAGAGGAAGGGTGGCTCAGGGTGGTAAGTCTACT